CCCCAAAAAAAAAAAAAAAAAAAAAGAAAGCCTCGTCGTGCCTCGAATATACTCCGTCCCTGATCTCTAGTTCAATTATATATGATAACTTATTGCTTTCAATGACGGTAATTAGTACCGTCTGGAAACCTCTCGAGCCTCTAAATACGACATCAGACTATAGAAACAATTGAATTCTGATATTTGATAAAACAATACAAAGAACAGAACATGTTAGTATCTCAGGATTAAGTGGTTCCACCGTGCAAGTTGAGATTCTCTGGTTGAACGTTGGCCAGCGAGTGTCTGATGCACCCACTGCTCCTCGGTCACGTGTATCGTTTTTCTAACTGCTGATCGGCTTCACCTTCTCCTCCGTAGTGTCCTCCACCTCCAAGTTGTCCGCATTTACCACCTTGATCCGGTCCACGGGCTTCGGTCGCATCAGAATGAACGGCAGCTCCGCGGAGAGCTCTCCGCTCAGTGCACCTAAATACAGCTTCACCTTGACAGCGTAAGAAACTACAATGCCAAAGGAATCACGGACATCGGGTGAAACGAGCAAAGTGCTTGATGCAAGTTCGCTTTCTTCCTTCTTCAACCCTCCATCCAAAGCGATGCCTCTACGATGCTTGTTGTTCTCCAATTCTGGTTTCAGATATAGAACTTTGGTTAAATTGGAGCCAGGGCTAATGGGACAGCCGTCCTGCGTCTCTATCGCGTCAATCACCGTCCTGAACTGGCCATTTTGGAAAATCACCACGTCGATACCCTGCTGTACCAGCGCTTTGATCTTCTTCACCACCTTGTTGCTGTTGTTCCTCACACATACGTTCACGGCTATTCTCTCTCCGTGATGGTACAGCTGTTTGTCCAGGGTCACCTCGAGTTCTAGATCGCCAGGGCTGAGTAAGAAATCCTTTCGTACCACGGTGCAAGGCTGTCGACCTTGTTTCGTCGGTGCGTACTGAATCTTCCTGATGCCCATAGTTATCGTGCTTCTCTTATGAGTAATATCGGTCTCCGTGTCCCCAGAGTAGATCTTCACATAGTATGTCACTCCACAAGGTTCACCTGTTTCATCTTCTCCTGATTGCAGAATTACGCTAGACGGAGCCGTCTGGGGGAACTTGAAGGTAAACGGAATTGCGTTTGGTCCTAGTTTTCGGAGCAGTCGTTCCTGTAGCCTGGTCAGGCTATCCTCCGTTTTCTTGGTCGTTGGGAACAACTGTTCCGAGACCAGATACAGATCCTTTTGGAAGTTCAAGCCCATCACCTCGTCCTCTTCCCGACCGTAGCGAAAGCTGCACACCAGCTGTCCCCATATTTTCCTACCGGTGTCCACGTAGTTTTGGTCCAGAAGAATTACGCCGTCTACTGGCTCGATTCCGGATAGATAGTCGATGTAGTCTCGTTTGCCCAGGTACAATGAAATTTTGCCGTTTGGCGAGCATTTTTTGAATACCTTGAAGTTCACCACCATGTCTGCGTGAGCGCAACGAAGTATCCTCCGATCTTATCACCACCGTTGTCGACTGATTTGAGAGGGTAGTGGTCGCCGGTCTTATATAGGAACGCGGTACCAGTGACGTCAAGATTTTTCAGGGCTTCCGAATCCGCTCAGCGTCGCGGATAAACCGTGCCTTTTTGCACGCGTCGATCCTAACCGTTTCGCGATATTTTTTTCCCAGTTCTATGCCAGAGGGGATAGGGGTGCGTTGTTTCTTCGACGTAGGAACACGCTATGCTTCTGACACGCTGATTTTCGCGGGCTTCGTTTTGTCGTTACGTATAATCTGCCTATTGTGTCTTGCTGCTTAAAACCCTTCTTTACGTACGAGAATCGGAAATAAATGTTGTGGTATAAACCACTTATGAGAAAAGACGATGGATGGATGCACATGTTTTGCGAATTATTAGATTCTTTTATCGCTTCATATTTCTCATATTTCTTGTATTTGTGTTACTCACTTTTTCTTGCTTTTAACTTTCAAGTCCTTCTTCATTTTCGCAAAAGAGATGGGAAAATTTATTTCATGATTTGAATATCCCATTCTATGCTTTTATCGTGCGGAAAAATTTAATGATTGTAGTTGTATAATTATATCAGTTGATTTACTATTTATCAATACATAATTTTCATTTTTAATGCTAATACGTTACCATCGGAACACAGAAAATATTAATCATTTCTTGATCTCTTTTTTAGCAGGTAATGCAGAACAAAATTGATAAGGTAGAAAGCTGTTTCTAAATCGTCGTGACGTCCCTGCATATACCGCATACTCAGTGGTTGTACGTTAGGCGAGTGATCGAGGTTTCGATCTGATACACTCTGGTTCCTTCTAGAAATTTTAGAACAGAGCGACAAGTTTTGAGAGACGCGAGTGACACTATTCGAAATTAAAAATGTCAGAAAGTACGAATACCAAGCTTGATACGGTAAGTGATATGTCGTTCCATCAGTAACGTTAACTACTTTATTTTGGCTTAGTTATTTTATTACGAGTTTTCTTTTATCCTATACTAAAGGGACTTCGTAACGATACTATTCGCAAACAACACAGAACACGTTAGCAATGTTGTCTATCGTAGAATCAAGTTGCCGATAAATTCATTAAGTACAAATGTGATATTGGAATTTTAATGTAACGTATTCGTCAAACATTTAATTGTAGGTCGAGCCTATGCCTGTGGCCATACCATCTGATTCATCCAAGAAACCAGTCAAGTCAACCGCCGTTGTAAAATACTCGGTCGTCCAAACACCAGCAACTTATGCTCAATTACAATGCAACACAGACTTAAATTTGCCACCGAGCAACTGGCTCAGCAGTTCTGCAGAAAGTTACGGCCTGCAGAGTGTATGGTCTCAGACCTCTGGATTTTCCAGTTTTCGTATGGCACACATGTTCCCTGATTGTGTAGGGGAAGTTGATGTTGTGTCGGATGCGGAGAATATAAAGAAACTGCTGAAATTGCCTTACAACCATGGAGTCATATCGATGGTGGTACACAGAATAGAGAACACTTTGTTGCTAGATGACTTTGATATTCACAAGTACTTACTTAGACAAGCGGAAAACGATTGGGAATGGTTAAAGAAATTTTTTTACGAGCATATTTTCCAGAATCTGGGAGATAAAGAAAAGCGTCTGTTTCATAAGACAAACAGTAGAAATACTTTGCAACAGAGGAACCTAGTATCCAAATTTTTGTATCGCTCGATAGTAGTAGCAGACAGCAAAGAGCAACATACTAAGCCACAGTTACCTGTGAAAACATTGAAGCCATGCTTGCCAGAACCTTCTCAGGAAGAAAAAGTCCCAGATCCGAATTATAATCATAATTTTGCGAGAAATATCGTCTGGACCTTCGAGAACATACAGATGCTAATTGGTACTGATATGCCGATATTTGGAGGACAAACTCACCCATGTATAAGCCTCAGATTAAGAGATATGACTAAACCTATTAATGTATTAACTGGTATAGATTATTGGCTGGACAATTTGATGTGTAATGTACCAGAAGTGGTAATGTGTTATCATTTGGATGGTATTGTACAAAAGTATGAATTAATTAAAACAGAAGATCTTCCTAATTTAGATCACTCTAAGTTCAGTCCTAAAGTTATCCGAGATGTAGCGCAGAATATTTTAAGTTTCTTAAAGAACAATTCAACTAAGGCTGGGCATACTTACTGGTTGTTCAAAGGCAAAGACGACGATGTTGTAAAGTTGTATGACTTAACTTCTTTGTGTAATGATGTGTCGGATGAAAAGGGTCAGAATCCATTTACTGTACCTGTTGCTATGTTACTATATAGAGTAGCCCGTAACATGAAATACTCTTCTGATTATCGTAGGCAGCAGGGTACTATTAGAATGTTATTAAGAAATTGCATACAACTATTGACTAAAGAAAAGTACCCACAGATTGTAACATCTGCACATTTTATGCTATCTGATTTGTATATACCATCTGATACCGATCCTGCTAGTCCTGCGTTGTCAGATCAGAGTGATGAAGAGGATACGCAAAGTGAATCCAGTATAAACAACGAGAACGAGAAGGATTTTACGGACGAAATCGAAGAAGCTGCAATTAAGTCTTTAACATTAGCTAATAGTAAGTCAAAAATATATTTTAAGTACTTCGATATCTTCAATATATAAATAAGTCAACTAAATAATATATATATATATCCTTTTAGTTAAAGAGCATGCAGAATGCGAAGAACCTAAATATAAACCACCACCAATTTCGGGCACCATCGAAGAAAGATGTTTAGCCGCTCTAGATCACGTTTATCACGGACTCGAATGTCTACAGTATTTTCCGATCGAAGATAATTCTGAAGATGAACGGAAGAAAGAGGAGGAAGAAGAAAAGAAGAAAAGAGTATACGAAGAGAATCATTTAAATATGGCTAAACCTTTCCAGGCAATTCCTATGCCTTATATTTCCTTGAAAGAAGATAAGAAAGAAGTTGACGTCGAAGTGAGTTCAGTAAACAATAGTCCTATGCATAAAAAGAAATCCAAGCAAAAGAAGGTGAGGAAACTTGAAAAAATTATTTCAAAAATGGACTCTCACGAGAACGGACCAAAAGCACTGTTATGTAAGCTTAAAAATGAAACCTTACCTACATGGCAGGCACCTCAAAAGAGTGATAATATAAGTTGGAACGTTCATTTAAAGACATTATTATACGAAAAGGCTTCGTTGATTTTTGCCGTGCTCGCTGAAAATGAATATGCCAATAGAAATTACGGAGCATCGTTAAGATATATGTTGGCAGTCCTACGTTGTCAGAAGATGTTGGAAATATTTTGTGATATACGGAACGATAAATCAATAAGCTATTTATTGGGACGTGCTGGAGACTGTTGCTTTATGGCTGTACAAGACTGGTGTAATGTCGAGAAACACAGGAGAGATTACGAGATGAAGAACGAAATTGAAGAAAGCATTGTCGAGGAGATATATAGAATGGAAGATGTAGATATGAGTATGTTCATAGTTAAAAAATATACAAAAGACTATCTTGTTATAAGTTCTCTATTTAAAATACTTTGATTTATAGATATTGAATTATTACCACAACGTTTAGAAAGTTTAGAGTCTACCTTAGTAGCATCTTATAAGTGCTACGAGAAAGCATTGTCATTAGAACTGATGGATATGGATAGAAACAATCTCTTAAGGCGATTAGGAAACATTCATAATGAGTTAGGTGTACTTTACATGAATCAAGCTGGAAGTAAGTATTTTTTGCATGATATTGTATTTGTTGAAGGTACTTGCTTGGATGTTAAACCATGATACACCTTTCCAGCGCGGTACCAACAAGAGAATTTAGCGGACGAAACATCAACCTCTTCGGAAGGGGTAACAACGCTACTTACACGGTCGCTAACTCATTTGGAAGCAGGCGTGAAAGCGTTCGAAACTGTCCATGACGAAGCAAATTTAGCACTTTTACATTCAAATACCGGAAGACTTATGCGACTTTGCGCACATATGCACGTTAAACAGAACACTCAAGAACGTCACTTTTATAATAAAGCGCTTGCAAGTTATCAGAAAGCCTTGCAAGTTTTAGGTTCGAAGAAGTCAAACCCTGTAATTTGGGATACTATTACATGGGATCTGTCCACTACTTTGTTCACTATGGCTACATTATTACAGGATTATCCTACAACTGGATGCAAAGTATGTTCATTTATATCATTAATAGAAACATTTTGTTACATACATTTGATCGCAATTTTAGACTGAAGAAGAATTAGAACGGGAGGTCGTCGATGTCCTACAGAAAGCTCTGAAGCATTGTGATATTGAAACTGCCGGGCCAAGGCAACCAGTATATCAATTTCGCGCTGCAATAATTCAACATCGACTTGCATCGTTATATCATCGTGTGTACAGAGAATATGAACCGGATGCGGACAATATTAAAAGAAAAACAAGCTTGCAACTTTGCAAGCTGTATTACGATAAAGCTGCGAAGCTTTTATTAGCTTTGGAGCAAACTACAGAGTTTCTGACGGTGCAGATGGAAAGAGTTGCTTTAGCTGAACATCAAGCGCGTTGTACGCATTTATCTTCAATTTAATTTAATAGATAGTTTTTAATTTCTCTTTTCATTAATTAACATGATATTTCAGGTGCCACAACCTTTAACAATAAATTAAAAGCATATCAGAATGGTCTTCAGTTAATTCTACAATGTAGACCAATTATCGATATATTATGCGATAGAAACAATTCTCAGAAGCAGAATGCTATTAGCAATAAGATAGGGAAAGAAAGTATCGAGGAAGGAAAACCGACCGATGAACAGAAATTGATAGAGGATGAAGAAAGTCTAGTGGTATTGTTGGAACAGCGATTACAATTTATCTTGCGATCTTTGACGAAATTATTCGTTACTAAGAATAGCAATAGTAGCAAAAAAGAGTACGTTTGCTTAGATACATATTGCTTTAATATATTTTTCATATTGACATAAAATATACCTTATTTATCTATAC